TTTAGTAGAGACGGGGTTTCACCATGTTGACCAGGATGGTCTCGATCTCTTGACCTCATGATCCACCCGCCTCTGCCTCCCAAAGTGCTGGGATTACAGGTGTGAGCCACTGCGCCCAGCCGGCATATGTTTATTACTATGTCTTTAATGATTTGCATTACCTGGTAGGAGGTAATGTATGTGTTTGGTTATGTAAGTATGAGAAAATAGGTTTTAAGGTTTTTGTGTTTAGTGAGTAATTCTTCAAGTCCTAAGAAAATATATTAAAAATTCCAGTTGGCAAAATTGTGGAAAATATGCAGATTATATACAATCACAACAACAACTCCAAAACCAAGAGTACATTACTGGAATCTTCACAGAAATGTGGGAAAGATTAAGGAGAATTAGAAAACATGAATGGAAAGGTCATTTTTAAAAATTAAATTTCAAAGCCATATCAAATGGTTTGGCTTGAGGAAGGATGGAGATAGAAGGGTCTAGAGCTGTATTACTAGTTAGCCCTAAAACTGGAATTAAAAAAAATTTTATAATCTAAATTAGGCCAAGAAAAGGCAATAACTGTAAGTAATCAGGGAGGGTGATTCTGGGTCCTCTATTCAGTTGAGTGTGCTTAAGAGCATAACACATGTTATTTTAATATTGGATCTCCATTCCCAGTGTGTTTTTGCCAATAAAAATTATAGAATCAGTGTTTAATACGAATACTTGTCCTTAGTCCCAAGTAACTGTGTTTCTCACGTAGTTGAATATATGTCAGATTGTCACTGACCTTCAGATTTTGGCTCCTTGGCTGGTGAGCGCATTGGTAGCAGAGTGTACAGAGTGTAATTCCTTAAGTTAAATGCAAGCTGCAGTTCCAATTTGAAGAAGATTATGAATCTGATTAATTTATTGATTCTCTTCTACAGGTTTGCCCATTTGGCAGCAGTGAAGCTATTAGAGGGGCTACAGAAATATGATATCGATGAAGAGAATGAAATTGATGAAAATGATGTGAAGTTTTTTATAAGACATGGTGTTGAGGGAAGCACTGATGCCAAGGATGATTTATGTCTGAGTGACTCGGATAAAACAGATGCCAGAAGTAAGTATGCTGCCTCTGTTGTGATTTATCCTTTCAGAAGTACCATAGCAATTTTTTGCCACAAATTTGGAAATTATTATGAAGACAAATACTGCCTACAAAGTAAAATAACTTGATAATATTTTTGGAGGAACCACAACTAATATAAGTTTTTGTACTAGGGTTGTTGAATATATAAAAAGTGTGAGACATTGCCTCTGTCCCTCAGGGGATGGAAAGTTATATAAGAAAATATTTAAGTATTTTCTTCAGTAGCTCAAGGGAACTGGGAAAGAAACATCTCAAGGATTGCCACGGTTAGTTGGCAGATGATCACTACAGACAATAATAGCAACAAATATTTATTGTCTACTATGTGCCAGCCACTGTTGTAGTTATTAAAGTAATGGTGAACAATACAAAGGAACTTCATTCGAGTGGTGGTAGTCAGGAGGGAAGGTGATAAGTAATGGATAAGAAAATAGACATATAAAGAAAATAGAGTGGTGCTATAGATAAGAAAATCATTAGGCCTCTCTGTGGTCGTGATGTTTGAGGAGAGACCTGGGTGATGAGAATGAGTCCTATGAAGATCTTGGAAGAACATGCCAGCAGAGGGAACAGTGCATGTAAAGGCCATTATGTAGTATTGGGAATGGTCAGTGTGGCTAGAGTGGAATCCCTAAGGAAGTGGCAAAAGATAGTTTTGAAGGGTCAGCAGGGACCAGTCAGATCGTATAGGGTCTGTTAAGCATTTTAGATTTAGATTTTTATTTTATTTGTTCATTTTTTTCCCTTTTTTCATTACAAAATCTCAGCATATAGATTTTATTTTAAATAGAAAGACATTGTTGCAGTTCAGGATGGAGAATGATGTGATCTTATTCATTTTTAAAGACAGTATCACTCTATCTGTTCCGGGAATGATAGACTGGGAGGTGGAAAAGAGCATAGCATTTCAGATGGGGTATGAATTAGGTGGGAAAAGGATGAACTTCCTGATATAATTATATCCTGATTCCAAGGATACTAAATTAGAATTGTACAAGAACAGATGTAGAATATCTGCACAGATTTCCTGGGCTCCTAGAGTTTCCTGATGTAGGCCTGTAACTAACAGTGATATTGGACATCTCATTTCTTGTTTTGCTTCACTTCAGCCTTTTAGGATTTGCTGATAGATGTGGCTATGAGGTGTTAGAGAAAAAGAAGGTAATCAACGGTGACTTAGATTTCTGGCTTGGGGAATTTGGTGAAGGGTAGTAAGTTTAAAATAACTATTCATTCAGGATAGAGAAGCAGGAAGGCTTTTCAGAAGTAGAATTTGGCTTGTCTTGAAGGGTGGCCAGGATTTTGATAGGCAAAATGGATAAGGAACATTCCATTCATCCAATACATATTTGATTTGCTTTGTTTTTCTTCAACTCATATTTGAATATTTACTGTGTGCACAGCCCTGGGCTACAGAATAGGGTAGTGCATCAGAAATAGTCCTGCTTTCTGGAATTCAGAAAACATTCTGAACCTGCTCAAGATAGTTCTAAAAGTAGTCACTGAAATTGTACATTGTCAGTTCTTTCTTTCCCATCATTCAACATGTATTTATTGAGTATCTGTTATGTGTCAGGCACTATTCTAGGTTCAAGGGTTACATTGGTAAACAGATAAATGATTTCTCCATATTTGCTTATTCCTAAACTGGTTCGATTTTTAAATTGTTTAAAGCTATGAAAGTGTTGATTATCCGCTCTTTGAGTTCCTTGACAACAAGATTAATAACTTACCATATTTGTTAGTGGGATTTTCTAAAATAGTTTTATAGATTTAACTTTTTTTCTTTCATACTAATTGCATTATGGAGACATGTATCTTCCAAATTTAATTTTTCATAATTGTCATCTGAATGATAGTCTTTTTTCCATTGAATATTGTCTTAGTATGCTTGGACTTCCATAGTAAAATACCATAGACTGAGTGGCTTAAACAACAGAAATTTATTTTCTCACAGCTGTAGAGCCTGAAAGTCCCAGATCAAAGTCTGGTAGGATTGGTTTCTGGTGAGGGCTGTCTTTCCGACTTTGACAGGTTTATGTCCTCACATGGGGGAGTGAGAAAACTCTGGTTTCTCTTCTTATAAGGACACTAATCCCATGGGACTAAGGCCCTACCTCATGTCATCTAACTCTAATTACCTTCCAAACCCTCCCCTCTCCAAACACCATCACATTGGAGGTTAGGGCTTAACATATGAATTCTGGGGAGACACATTCAGTTCATAACAAGTGGTTATGACCTATATTCCAGATTAGTCAGTGAGTAAAAGTAGGAGTGCTTTCTCTCAAGGAGACATGTGGTTTCATGCAAATGGACTTCCGAGAGGCAGCAGGATGCTAGCTTATCATAGTTTTATGTTTATTATATTACATGAACATATTGAAACTAAATTGAAGTCTAGTAATTGGAGCAAGTTTTAATTTCTGTAGAATTTTTGCTGGGCTTGGCTACTGGCATATTACTTTCCTACCAGAATTTTTGTTCCTCAAAATCCTAACAAAATGGCTTACATTTCAGTAGTGTTTTATAGTTTATAGAACACTTCCATGTATTCTCCATTATTCACAGTAAGCATATAAGGTAGGTAACATCTGTTTTTATTTTTTTTTCAAGACACAGTTTTTCTCTGTTGCCCAGGCTGGAGTCCAGGGCGCGATCTCGGCTCACCGCAACCTCCGCCTCCTGGGTTCAGGCAATTCTCCTGCCTCAGCCTCCTGAGTAGCTGGGATTACAGGCACGCACCACCATGCCCAGCTAATTTTTTATATTTTTAGTAGAGACGGGGTTCCACCATGTTGACCAGGATGGTCTCGATCTCTTGACCTCGTGATCCACCCGCCTCGGCCTCCCAAAGTGCTGGGATTACAGGCTTGACCCACCGCGCCCGGCCAAGACACAGTTTTACTCCTTTACCCAGGCTTGCGTGTAGTGGCACAATCTTGGCTCACTACAATCTCTGCCTCCCGGGTTCAAGTGATTCTCCTGCCACCACCTCCCAAGGAGCTGGGATTACAGGTACCCACGACTATGCTTCGCTAATTTTTGTATTTTTAGTAGATACAGGGTTTCGCCATGTTGGCCACGCTGGTCTCCAACTGCTGACCTCAGGTGATCCACCTGCGTTGGCCTTCTAAAATGCTGGGATTACAAGTGTGAGCTACCGCACCTGGAAATATCTCTGTTTTCTATCTCAAAAAACACTTATTTAGTATAGTATCCTCATTTGATGGATAAGGAGATTGAGATTCGGAGAAGCTAAGCTACTTGTCCAAAGTCACACAGCAACTGGAAGCAAGGCTTTTGGGCTTCCCTATATAGAGCTCTTGCCAGCACACACATTGCCTCCTAAGAGGAATATTTTCATACCATGAGCAATCTGAATTTTGCTTCTAATGGTATTTGGTCAAGAGAGCCATGGTTTGTACTAATGGTTGAGAAGAACTGTTTCAGTGGAGCTCTTTGATAGAAGTGAGATGAGGATATGCTTGAACTGAGGCTAAGCAAATCAAAGGCAGCCCCAGTGAGTGAAGAAAGCTCAGGCGTTGGATTCAGATGTTAGAATTTCACCACTTTCTAGCTGTGTTACGTTCTGAGCCTCAGTTTCTTTATCTGTAAAAATGAGAATATAATATAATGTCACCCCAACAGATAGTATAAGGGTTAAATTAGTACACTGGAGAATGGGAAGTGCCTAGCTTATCATAGAGGCTCAGGAAGTGTGAGTTCCCTTCCTCTTGGTTTCTGGAGAGTGTCAGTTATTCTGGCAAAAAGAACTAGTTGTACCAAAATTGTATTTTCTAAAGAAATTTTCTGATTTAGGTCTAGATTTATTTTCTAATTAAAAAAAAGTCCTCAGAACATTGTCAGACAATACTTGACTCTCTGGGGTAGAGTGGAAGCCTCTTCCCTGATGAATATAACCAAAGGAAAACCGGAAGATGCTGATGTCAGGGGTTCCTAACCAACAGCCCACCCAGATCACCCTACAGTGAGGCTCAGAGTTAATGATTCTTTAAGGATTTCCTGACAGCTTTATTTTAAATAGCTTTATTGATTGAGATATGATTCATGTATTATTAAATATACCTACTTAGACATACAATTGGGTGGTTATTAGTATATTCACAGATTTGTTAAGCATTACCACAATCAATATTATGTCTGTTATTTATTTATTTTTTTGAGACACAGTCTTGCTCTGTCTCCCAGGCTGGAGTGCAGTGGCGTATTCTCGGCTCACTGCAATCTCTGCCTCCCGGGTTCAAGTGACTCTTGTGCCTCAGCTACCTGAGTAGCTAGGATTACAGGTGTACACCTTCAGCCCAGGTAATTTTTCATTTTTAGTAGAGATGGGGTTTCACCATGTTGACCAGGCTGATCTTGAACTCCTGGCCTCAAGTGATCTGCTTGCCTTGGTCTTTCAAAGTGCTAGGATTATAGGCATGAGCTACCGTGCCTGGCCAATTTTATGTCATTTTTATCAAGTTACAAAGAAATGTCATCCCCATTACCCCACCCTACCTTCTCTCCAACTGTTATTCTGGCAAAAAGAACTAGTTGTACTGTAATGATTAATGATGTTGAGTATGTTTCCACATGCCCCTTGACTCTTCTGGGCAACTGCTAATCTACTTTCTGCCTCTATAGAATTGCTGATTGTAGATACTTTATTTGAATGAAATATGTGGCCTTTCCTTTCACTTAACATAATGTTTTCAAGGTTCATACACACTGTAGCATGGATTAGTATTTCATTCCTTTTTATTGTCAAATATAATTCTTGTATGGATGTACCACACTTTATATATCCATTCATTAGCTAATGGACATTTGAGTTGTATCCACATTTTGGCTATTATGGATAATGCTGCTATAAACATTCATGTGTACATTTTTGTGTGGACATAGGTTTTCATTTCTCTTAGGTATATACCTAAGTTGTATATAAATAACTCCCTCCCTCCCTCCCTTCCTTCCTTCCTTCCCTGTTGCCCAGGTTGGAGTGCAATGGTATGATCTCAGCTCACTGCAACCTCTGCCTCCCAGGTTCAAGCAATTCTCTTGTCTCAGCCTCCTGAGCAGCTGGGATTACGTGCATGCGCCACCATGCTTGGCTAACTTTTGTATTTTTGGTAGAGACGGGGTTCACCATGTTGGTCAGGCTGGTCTCGAACTCCTGACCTTGTGATCTGCTCACCTTGGCCTCCCAAAGTGCTGGGATTACAGGCATGAGCCACCTTGCCTGGTCGCACCACATTTTCTTTATCCAGTCTTCTGTTGATGGACATTAGGTTGATTCCATTTCTTTGCCATGTGCACATTTATGTGCATGTGTCTTTATAGTATGAAGATAGTATATAGTATGAATATAGTATGATATATATTCCTTTGGGTACGTACCAATAGTGGGGTTGTTGGGTCGTGTGCTAATTCTGTTTTGAGTTCTTTGAGAAGTTGCCAAACTGCTTTCCACAATGGTTGAACAAATTTATTCTCCCACCAGCAGTGTATAAATGTTCTCTTTTCTCCACAACCTCCCAGCATCTGTTGTTTTTTGACTTTCTATTAATAGCCATTCTGACTGATGTGAGATGGCATTTCCTTGTGGTTTTGATTTGCATTTCTCTAATGATTACCGATGTTGAGCATTTTTTTCATATGCTTGTTGGCTCTGTGTATGTCTTCTTTTGAAAAGCATTTCTTCTCTGTGAGGATTAAAATATATAAGGTACTTAGTGCAGTGTCTTGACATCATAGGCACTGCATAACTACACGATCATTTTTATTGTTTTCTCTGGAAATTTTCTCCTTTGTTGAATTGAAATCTTTCTTTCTGGAGCTAATTCCCCAATTAATCTTAATTCTTACCTCTGAGGACTTCATAGAACAGGCCTTACGAAACATATAATTTCAGATATTAAAGAAATTATTATATAAGCTAAATACCCACTGCTCTTTCAGTCTTTTCTGACATTTTAAATCTTAATTCCCCTCTACCTTCTTGCTAATGGTTATGGTGGTTTCCAAACCTGTCTACCCTTTAGAATTGTCTGAGGAACTTTTTTTTTTTTCCTTTAGGCAGAGTGTCACTCTGTCACCCAGGCTGGAGTGCAGTGGCATGACCTTGGCTCACTGCAACCTACATCTCCCAGGTTGCTGGGATTTACAGGCATGTGCCACCACACCCAAATAATTTTTGTATTTTTAGTAGAGACAGGGTTTCACCATGTTGGCCAGACTGGTCTCGAACTCCTGACCTCAAGTGATCTGCCGCCTTGGCCTCCCAAAGTGCTGGAGTTACAGGCATGAGCCACTGCGCCCACCCGAGGTCCTTGTAAAAGGACTTGTAAATTGCCGAAATTTATTAAGTACATATTCTTGAACTTGGTAGGTCTGGAATGGGGCTCAAGAACATACATTTTTAAAAAGCATCCCATTTGATTCTGGTGTATGCAGTTTAGAAACTGTAGCTCTAATCTGTTGATAGATAAATCATGGGTGTTAGGAAGAAGAGGCTGTGATTTGCTAAATTGGTCTTGTAAAGCAGTTTCTCAACTTCTATACTCTTGACATTCTGTGCCAGATAATTATTTTTGTTGAGGCAGACTTTTCTGTGCACTGTGAGATGTCTAGGAGCATCTGAGCCTTTACCTACTAGATGCCGGTAGCACCTCTCTATTCCCACTCCCAGGCTGTGACAAGCAGAAATTTCTTCAGGGGCTGCCAAATGACCCTTGGAGGAGAAAATCACCCCAGGTAGAGAACCATTGCCATAAAGGATGGAAAAATCATAGTTCTGATCGTTGAAGAATAGTTCAAAATAACTCTCCACATACTTTGTTCTCTTAGTATCCTCTTGCGTAAGTGCTATAAGTGACCGATCACAAAATTTGTGGATGTGTTAGTTCTGGTTTACTTTAAAGTAATCAAGCATATTTCAGTTTTTTTAATTTTCCGATATATAGTAGATTGTGCATGGTCCTGTAATCTATCATTAGTCCTACAATACTGCTAGCCTTTTTTTTTTTTGAGATGGAGTCTTGTTATGTTGCCCAGGCTGGAGTTCAGTGGCAAGGTCTCGGTTCATTGCAACCTCTGCCTCCCTGGTTCAAATGATTCTCCTGCTTCAGACTCCTGAGTAGCTGGAATTACAGGCATGTGCTACCACACCACACTAATATTTGTATTTTTAGTAGAGACGGGGTTTCACCACATTGGCAAGGCTAATCTGGAACTCCTAACCTCAGGTGATCCACCTGCCTTGGCCTCTGAAAGTGTTGGGATTATAGGCATGAGCCACCATACCTGGCCAATACTGCTAGTCTTTTAAAACCTTCTTTTTCATAGCATTAATAGTCATAACAACCTGATACATGCTACAGTAGCAGGGAGAGAATTCTCCATTTAGGTATTTCATTGCATGTTCATTTTAGTATTCTGTTACTGATATTTATCCTTCTTTGTATATACCATGCTTCCTCCACCCCCATCTCCAAACCATACAGACACTAGTCTAGAGGAAGAATATGCTCCAGAAGACCAGTACCCGGTGGACACGAGCTGTTATGTGTCTAACCAGTTTCCTATTCGACTCTGTCTTGCAGTGAGAGCTTACAAGAAAGTTGTAGAATTGAGACACCTCCTGGAAATTGCCGAGAGCAACTATAAACACTTGGGAGGGATAACAGAAGAAGATTTAAAGCAGAAGAAAGAACAGCTTGAGGCTGAAAAGTAATGTCCTTAAAACTTTAATGATTTGTTTTTAAATACCTCTCTAAATGCCATGTGAGGGTTTGTTGGTCAGCAACTTGTTCTTTCTTTCTCTCTCTCTCTCTCTTTTTTTCTTTTTATGAGACTAAGTCTCACTCTGTCACCCAGGCTGGAGTGCAGCGGTGTGATCTCGGCTCACTGCAACCTCTGTCTTCTGGGTTCAAGTGATTCTCATGCCTCAGTCTCCCGAATAGCTGAGATTACAGGTGCCTGCCACCACACCTGGCTAATTTTTGTATTTTTAGTAGAGATGGGGTTTCACCATCTTGGCCAGGCTGGTCTTGATCTCCTGACCTTGTGATTTACCCACTTCAGCTTCCCAAAGTGCTGGGATTACAGGTGTGAGCCACCGCGCCAGGCCTTGTTCTTTCATTTTGCCAAAGGGTGTTAGGGTCCATCCTGTTTTTCTCCTGAGCCCCCAGATGACAAAGGAGTTAAGAATTTTAAAATAATTGTGATAAGATACATATAAATTAAAATTTACCATCTTAACCATTTTTAAGTATACAGTTCAGTAGTGTTAAGTACACTCCCATCGTTGTGCATCCCATCTCCAGAACTCCTTTCGTCTTGTGAAACTGACATTCTGACATAGGCTCTGAACATTCTCATCAGGCCAGACTGCCCATCCACACATCTGAAACTAGGTCTTGTGTTCCCTGATTATAGTACCCATTAGAGAATGCTCTTGCATCTAGAGGCAGTGAGCAAGTGCATAGTTGTCTCTATCTTTCACTTCCTTAACCCCACATTGGCTCCCTGGACAATGGGTATGGTACCTCTGTAATTGCAGTTGGCTCTCTATATCTGTGAGCTCTGCATCCATGGATGAAACCAAACTTGCATAGACAATAATCAGGAAAAAAAAGGATAGCTGTGTCTGTACTGAACATCTGTAGCCTTTTTTTCCCTTGTCATTATTCCCTAAATAATAAACTATAAGAACTTATTGTTTACTACTACAGTAAGTAAATCTGGAGACGATTCAAAGTATACAGGAGAATGCATATAGATTATATGCAGATATGTACGTACTGCACACCATTTTAATGTAAGGGACTTAGCGTCTGTGGGTTTTGGTGTCTGTGGGGCCTGCTGGAACCAATCCCTTTTGTTACTGAGGGACCACTGTAGTTAATAGCTGCTGGGATAGAGGATACCTCGAGCTTCTTTTATCCTACTGTCCCTCTGCTTGTCTTGCTACTTTCCAGAATAAACAGAGAACAGAGAGAGATAGGAGAGGAGACTTCTGATTTAATCAAACATGGGTCTGGAAAGAGAACCATGCAGGGATTTCCTTCTTTGTTCTCTGCTTTTTCTGCCCTTTCCTTTCGTTGTGTCTTGTTACCTCACACTCTTAGAACCGGCTGTTTCCCTTTCCTCCACCCAATTCTGAATCTAGCTCTGAAAGAGGTGTGCTAACTGTATTCAGAGTAACAGCTAAATCTTTGATAAGCTGACATTTGGCTCTAGTTTAAAAAAAAGAAAATAAAAATAATATTAAGATTAATGTGTTATTCTTCCCTGGATGGGTACTTGGGAATTTAAGCAGAAGGCAAAAACCTTAGGCCAAAATACTCTGTTTTTTTCTCTGCTACCCTATGAAACTACCGCTTAATGTGATTTTAGACACTAGGAATCTGTGGCAGACTGATTTTTTTTTTTTTTTTTTTAAATCGGGCCATCTTGGTATCTCACAAATCATATCATATAGGTTTCTGTCCACTGCCTCTATACTGTTTGAAGTGTTTTGAGATGTAGAATTTTTTTTAGTGTTAGCCTTGGCCTAAGAGCCTTCTTCAAAGTTCTTAGATTCTTTGTAGTCTGGAAAAGTACTTCGTGATGGAGCAATTATTTCCTACTAATGAGCTTTAAATTTTGGTTTCCTTTGCTTTTCTTCTAAAGCAGATTTCTATACTATCACTACAGCTGTTTGTATTACTTCTAAGCACTACTATATGCTGCACACCAGACAAGCTTTATCTCAAGCAATCCTCACAACTCCATGAGCTATACAGATTAGGAAACGAAGACTTAATGCAGAGGTTAAGTAACTTGTGTAAAGTCGCAGAGGGTGTAGAAAGGGTGTGGGAGGTGGAGCCAGGATTTGAGCCTGTGTCAATGACTCTAACCCTGTTTAAGATCATTACAATTTTAATAGTCTTTAGTGGAACTTTTAGTCAAATAGCTATGGAATAGTCTATCAGTGTGAAATATTATTAATGTAAGTGATTTTTGAACAGCTTTTTTTAATTGCTTTACGTTTGTGCCAGAATGCAGTTTCATATCAGCTGAAGTGGCAGTGTTTCTTCTAATTACACCTAAGTTTTAATTCTTCTCTAGCATTTGTTCTCCACTTTGTATTAAGTACATTTTTTTATTTTATTTATTTATTTTTTTATATGGAGTCTTGCTCTGTTGCCAGGCTGGAGTGCAGGGGTGCAATCTTGGCTCACTGCAACCTCTGCCTCCCAGGTTCAAGTGATTCTCCTGCCTCAGCCTCCTGAGTAGCTGGGACTACAGGTGCATGCCATCATGGCTGGCTAGCTTTTTGCATTTTAGTAGAGACATCCGGGATGTTGGCCAGGATGGTCTTGATCTTCTGCCCTTGTGATCTACCTGCCTCGGCCTCTGAAAGTTCTGGGATTACAGGTGTAACTCACTGTGCCTCGCCACCCCCCCCCCTTTTTTTTTTTTTTGAGACGGAGTCTCACTCTGTTGCCCAGGCTGGAGTACAATGGCATGATCTCGGCTTACTGCAACCTCCACGTCCCAGGCTCAAGCAATTCTCCCGCCTCAGCCTCCTAAGTAGCTGGGATTACAGGCATCTGCCATCATGCCTGGCTAATTTCTGTATTTTTGTAGAGGTGGGGTTTCACCATGTTGGCCAGGCTGGTCTGAAATCCCTGGCCTCAGGTGATCCACCTTCCTCCACCTCCCAAAGCGTTGGGATTACAGGCGAGAACCACCACACATGGCCGTGTTAAGTGCATCTTAAGACATTTATTCTTTGGGTGCAAACCCTGATCTTAAATATAGTTGTAAAGAAAAACTGGGCAAGTATTGGTTTGAGGGATGTCTTTTGATTTTTATTGTTATCCATCAGTAGACCAAACTCACAACACAATAAAATATATTTGTGTTACTCTGTCCTGGGGATGATATTCCCTTCTTATTTGCTGAACTTCTAGGCTTCCACAATTGACATTCTTCTTCTCTATCCCCAATCTTAACCTTTACTAATTTCTGTACCAGAACTACTACTGTATATTCTTAGATTGCCCTCCTGGGACCCAACCTAGGATGCCTTGGGAATTGTGTTTCCCCTCACCATCCAGTGATAAGGCAGAAAAAAATCCTGGTTCAAGTTACAACATCTCTTGTCTGGATTGTTGGTGACATCTTGATAGGTCTTCTACTTCCTGTCCCTGTCCCCATATCCCCCACTCCCCTACCCTGTAGTCTGTTCTTAACCCAGTATCCAGAGTAATTATATTAAAACAGTATTCTGAGTAATCATATTAAAGGTCAGATCATGCTCTTTTTCTACTCAGACTCTCTAGTGCCTTCCCATTTTACTCAGAGTAAAAGCCAAAGTGCTTACTGTGATTTAGAAGACCCTACTTATTCTTGTTCTCTTTTACCTCTCTGACTTACACAACTTTTCCTCCCTTTTTTTTCTTTTATAGGAAGGGTCTCACTCTGTTACCTAGGCTGGAGTGCAGTGGTATGATCACAGCTCACTGTGGCCTTGACCTCTTGGGCTCAAGAGGTCCCCCACCTGAGTTTCCCAAGTAGCTGGGGCTACTTGGGAAGGCCCCATCACCATGGAGATAACTTAAAAAATTTTTCTTTTTGGTAGAGGTGGGGTCTCACTATGTTACCCAGGCTGGTCTTGAACTCCTGGGCTCAAGCAGTTCTTCTGCTGTGGCCTCCCAAAGTGCTGGGATTACAGGCGTGAACCACTCTGCCTGGCCTTTCTTTCTCTCAATCTCTCTCTCTTTTTTTTTTTGAGACAGTCTCGTTCTGTCATCCATGCTGGAGTGCAGTGGCATGATCTCGGCTCACTGCATCCTCACCTCTTAGGTTCAAGGGATTCTCCTGTGTCAGCTTCCCAGGTAGCTGTGATTAGGTTTCACTGTGTTGTCCAGGTGGGTCTCAAATTCCTGGCCTCAAGTGATTCATCTGCCTTGGCCTCCCAAAGTGCTGGGATTACAGGTGTGAGCTACCGCGCCTGGCCTCCTTTTTATTCTTTAAACAATTCTATTGTGTTGGCCACTGGTGTTCTTGTACTTCATCAGGCATACTTCTGCTTCAGGGTCGTTGCACTTGTTCCTTTTCTCTGGAACACTTTTTCTCCAATGTCTACATGGTTATCTCTCTTATTTCCTTCAGGGATTGTCTTAGAAGCCCCCATCTCAGTAAAGCCTTCCCTAGCCATTGTGTATGAAATGTTAACCCCCTCCTCCACATCATTTTACCATTTTATACTTCTCTTTCCTGCTTTATTTTTGTTTTCTCCCTTAGCACTTATTATCTTCCAACATATCATATATTTTACTTATTTATTTTTCTTATTGTCTGCATATATCTACTACTAAAGTAAGGTCCAGGAAGGCAGATTTTGGGCCTTTTGCTCACCACTATATCTCTAGTGCCCATTCATAGTAGACCCTGAATACATATTTGTTGAATAAACGATTTCTTTATTTGCCTTAAACACAATGCATGGATTCTTTCCACTATTAAAAATAATTGTTAGTTGACATTGGTGATTGATTTTTAAAAAATTTTGTTTTTGATAGGACCATCAAAGAACTGCAGGACCAGCTGGAGTATGAACGACTACGTAGAGAAAAATTAGAATGTCAGCTTGATGAATATCGAGCAGAGGTCGACCAGCTCAGGGAAACACTGGAAAAAAATCAAGTCCCCAACATTGTGGCCACGGTTAGTGTCCTTTTTATTACATTTATTTTTCTCAAAAAATATATACAAGAGTGGCTAAGAGAACAAGCTTTGGGCTAGGGCTCTTTGGACTTGAATCCTGGCTACAGTCTTTTTTGATTTAGGCTACTTATTTAACCTTTTTGTGCCTCAGCTATAAACTGGAGACGGTAACTTAAACTTTCTAGAGCTGATGACAGGATTAAAGGAACACATACACACACACACACACACACACACGCACAAACTATATGTAACTACATAACTTTCTATATATACACACACCTGTCTGTATCTATCTATCTATCTATCTATCTACCTACCTACCTACCTACCTACCTACCTATCATCTATGTTCAAACAGCAGCTTGGTCCTAAGTATTATTGTTATTATTGTACCACAGAAGAAAAAAATACCTTCATAAGCAGAATAATCAGTAAGAATTCTATGACAGCTGAAGGGTATGTATTTTTTCATATTCTAAATAACCAAAATAAAGTGCTTTGAATGGAATCCATTTTAGAAAGTTTTAGTTCTCCCAAAGAATAGTTTTAAAAGTAGAAAGGAGCCAGCATAGAAGTTGTCATAGCATCCTTTTGCTCAGATTGCAGACACATAAAAACTAACGTTTGTGTAACACTATATCTACAAACTTATTTCACGTTATCTTATTGTATGTCATTTTACCTTCCCCTGTTAACATACGAAAAACTGAGGCTCAGAGAGGTTAAGTGACTTGTCTAAATTCACACAGTCAGTAGTGGTAGAATCAGTATTCAATTTCTGGTCTGGTCTTTTGATCTCATAGCCTTAGCCCTCTTGGCTCATTTCATTTTTTTCGTTTCTTTTTCTTTTTTTGAGATAGAGTCTTGCTCTGTCACCCAGGCTGGGGTGCAGTGGCCTAATCTTGGCTCACTGTAGTCTCCGCCTCCCAGGTTCAAGTGATTCTCTACCTCAGCCTCCCGAATAGCTGGGATCACAGGTGCCCACCACCACGCCCAGCTAATTTTTTGTGTGTTTTTTTAGAGACGGGTTTCACTATGTTGGCTAGGCTAGTCTAGAACTCCTCATCTCAAGTGATCTTCCCACCCCAGCCTCCCAAAATGCTGGGATTAAAGGCATGAGCCACTGTGCCCAGCTGCCTTGGTTCTTTTCAAAATGGGAATTATGAATTTGGAATTCAGAATATAGCACTAGAAAACGGAAAAATACTTCGAATGACAAAAAGGACAAATACATAGAAGGAAGCAAAAAAGAAACATGAGAAACATACAAAGAACAAGTACAGAATAGGAGGTGAAGTACAGAAAGCAGAATAAAAGTGACAGCAAGATACCCTAGTATTTCATACCATCTGATCTCAAAGGAGAGTAGGCTGAAAGTGTACCAGGGAAACTTTGACCCTCATTCTCTTTTATAAGTGAAGATGGTCACAGTGTGGCCCTGTAGACAAATCATTGTTGTACAATGTAGGGATTCAGGTACGTTTCATATTTTCTTTCCATAGGGAGGTTTCTTCATCAGTCATCATGGATGGATTAATTCTGTTTGAGGCTTGTGTCACCTCAAATCTGATCTATTAATATTATAGAAACTTCCTGGCTTCTTTTTATTTTACACAAACCAGTCATTGGTCTCTTTCATAAGCACTTTAAAAATATTAAAATAATAAAACATGTTTGATGTGTAGTGTTAAAAACAAGATAGATGTTCCTTCTGACCCTAAGTTCCACTCTTCAGAGGAAGCTACTGTTAACAATTTAATACATACCATATTAGATAAAATTCTGTTTAATCCGCAAACATGTATGTGTATTTCTATGCATATATAAATATAGACCACTTTCTCAGTTTCTTTGGGCCTTGGTGTCTCACCAGTGTTTGATTTTCCAAGGAATATAATTATAATAATTAATCTATTCTCTTCATTTTTGCAACCCTCTTCTTGTACTACCTTTAGCCCATGGGGAAACTTTAGTATCAGAGAGGCCAGCTGTACAGTCATGTAGTGTTGGTTAGAGGGCTAGAGGACACAGCACCATTTATAACTTACAGCTTCCAATCAAATCTGTTATCTCTCCACCTTGTGGCAGGGACTCTGTGACTCCTAGTCTCCCCAAAAGTAGAAAGGTAAGTTATTGTTGTTTTTTCTTTTTTTTAGACAGGGTCTTGCTCTTGTCACCCATACTGCAGTGCAGTGATGCCATCATAGGGCGCTGTAGCCTCGAGCTCCCAAGGTTCAAGTGATCCTCTTGCCTCAGCCTCCCAAGTAGCTGGGACTACAGCCGTGCACCAACACACCTGGCCAATTAGTTTATATATTTATTTTTTGTAAGGACAAGATCTTGCTTTGTTGCCAAGGCTAAGTTGTTGTTCTTCAGCTGCCTAGGCAGGACAATCTTTTGGTGTAGTCACCCAAGCTGCACATTTTCTTTTGAGCCATTCAAAACTGTCTACTTTCTATCTTTTAGCTATTTAGAAATTCTCTTTTCTTACTCAAAAGCATCTGTTCTCAGGTTGAATCTGGTTTCACACTCCACAGTTCTGCTTCCCTAAAACTTCACTCTATCAACAATGTGAGAGCTGACTCACGGTCACTATGCTTGAAGTTCATGTTTTTTGCATTCTTGCTTTAGGTTATACCTAATTTTTGTAAATAAGCAAATGTCACTGAGCTTTCATGGCAGCTGCAACTCTGGCACTGCTTATTTTCACTTGCAAAAGCTTGAATCTCTATTTCCTTGTCTTTAAAATGAGAAATAATAATACCTAAACCTCATGGGATCGTATTGATGTTAAATGGAATATTGGGTAGAAATCCTGAATGTAGTTTCTAGCACACTAAGCTAAGGATAAGAAGAATGTATTTGGGAGTCTAACTATATATGAAGTTTAAGTAAAATGAACTTTTCCTTCAGGGCTATAAATACGGATGATTCACCAGGAAGTCCTGACTAAGCCTTTCTCCTGCCACCTTCTGGTCAGAACGTATGATTGCACACTATTGTACCTTAAGATCAGCTCCCAAAATAATCTGCAGTAGTAGTATAATTTTTACTGAGAGAAAAATTCTTAGAACAGTTTCCTAGGATAGTTTGCCATATATAAAGTGCTTAAATGGTTTTTTGATAACAGCTGTTTTTAACTGCACTTTCTCGGATATTGTCTTATTTTAGTCTGTATCAACCCTATGAGGAAGTAGAATGATGTACATATTTTTGATCCCTGTGTTACAGGTGAGAAAACAGAGGCTCAGAGAAGTTTAGAGTCTTGTTAGAGCATAGAGCTAGTGTAAAGCAGGAACAAACTCAGATTCTCTGCCTTCAGATTATATTTTTCTCATACTTCTGTGGAAATGACTATCAAATCCATACTTTAGTACCGTGTCCCCACCAGGACTCCCCACCTGTATTTCTCACTGCTCATCAGCTGGACATTTCCACCTGAAATTCCGGGTGGTGCCTGAATAAAAATAAATGTCCAGAATCGAGCTCAATAGCAAGACCAGATTCTTTCCCCTATTTCTGCATTTAAATTAATGGCATCACTATTTTCTCAACTACCCAGTCTTAGACTCTTAATGATTAGTTATGTTTTCTTCTTTAAATCATACAGAAAGTGAGCCCATCCTGTAGGTAGGAACATGCTCCCTACTTTCGCTGCTTCCCTAGTTTAGGTTTCTGTATCTTTCTATCTGAACTACTGTTAAGAGAATTTTGGTGTTTACTCCTTCCTTATCCAAATCCATCTGACTCACAGTGGTCAGCTTGATTTCCTTGTCACTCCTTGGTTTCAAAATGTTCCTTGCTTGAATAAGTACAGATTCTTCAGTTTGCCATTCAGTCCTAACCTACCTCACAAGCCTTATTTTTGTCTATTCTCCTACATATATTAATAGCTTATTTTTTCTTAAGCTACCCTATGCTTTCCCATCATTAAGCCTTTGTTCAGTTTGTCCATATACCTTGAAAGTTGCCCGTTGACTCTGTCTCTCAGAATCCCCTAGGAACCATCTTATCACCCCTTTCCTAGTCTCCCCGGTCACACGTGATCTCTCCGTCCACCAAGCATTTTGTACTGGTCTAAGGGCCTCCCATCATCTGTATTGCACCATGACTGGGCACTTAGCCCACAGTACTGAAAACCTAAGTTTTATGAGGTCATTTAACTCATGTTAATAACATCATCTTGGCCATCATTAACAATAGGTTTTGAGTATGTTGGGCTTAGTGTTATTAGGACCTTATATTTCATCATATATCATCTTCATTTTACAAATGAAGAAATCAAATCTCAGATAAGATAAACAATTTATAAAGTGACAAAGCTTGTTAGATGGCTAGCCATGATTTCAATCTGTCTAGCCCAAGTCTATGCTTTTAACACCACTTGTTATTGCCATTATGAACCCCTCACCCTCCTCTTTCTGTGCTTTTAAGAATGTTTATTTTGAAAAATTTTCTTCAAAAACTTTTGATGATAGCTTTTTAATAGGGTTAACTTATGAAAACTTAAAAATTGGTAATAATTTTGTTAAAATGTTACAGTGTAAGTTCAAACATACATTTCAAAATGTGTCTTCAATTGGAAGTTGAGATGATAAACTATAACATAGGCTTTCTTCATGACCTTGGGGTAGGAAAAAAATGGATACTGGACTTCATTAATGTAAGACTTAAGTTCATCAAAGATTATATGAAAAGATTTGAAAAGGCCTGCCAAAGTGTAGAAAAATATATTTCCTTTTTTCTGCTTTTCTTTCTTCTCTCCTATCTGAAAAAGAAGTTGTATCCAGAATATATAAAGAACTTATACAAATCAATGCGAAAAAGACAGTCTAGTAAAAAACTGGGCAAGACTTGAATAGGCACTCCACAAGAGAAGATATCCAAGTGGCCAGTAAACAAGAAATTGTGCTCAAAATCAGTGGTTATCAGAAATGTAAATTAAAACTCAAACAAGATATCCATATATACCCATCCAAATGGGTATATATTACAATTAAAACAGACATTACCAAATGTTGGTGAAGGTGTGGAACAACTGTAGATTTTATACACCAATGGTGGCAGTGTAAATCGGCTTAACCACTTTGGAAAATTCATTCCTATTGGAATTAGTACATGTTTCTTCGTGTACACAGATGGACACCAAAAATATATATAGGAATGTTCATATCAGCATTATTGTATATACATCCCTCAAACTAGAATCATCGAAAAATTCCCTCAACAGTAAATCAATACATTTTGCTATATTCATATAATAGCATACATGAATTACCCCTCTGCACATCGCCGTGAATGAATTTCACAAACACAATGGTGACTAAAAGAAAACAATGTGAAAGAGTACATACTGTATGATTCCATGTAGCCCAAAATAGGTAAAATAAATCAAGTCAGTAGTGCCTGGGAAGGGGCAAATGGAGGTTTCTGGGATGCCAGTAATGTTCAATTTCTTGATCTCAGTCATGGTCACAGGAGTGTGTTCACTTTGTAAAAATTCATCAAGCTGTCCTTTTTTTTTTTCCTTTGTGCTCTTTAGTACATATATATTACACTTTAAACATTAAACTAGATGGGAACTGTAATAGCTTTGGCAGAGCTGTCTGTCCAGCTCTGGAGATTTATGTAGCACCAGTCTCCAGAACCAGTAATATTTAGGAAGTCCTTGGTCTACAGCTTTGGGCCACGTTTGCTAATCAAGGATGGCTCACCTGGAACTGGTAATATTCCATGATTATCTTCCATGTTTAACTTAATCTTATTTTCTAACTATGAAGGTTTGGAACAGGGTTGAATTTTGATATGGTCTCTGCTGGGCTTCTCTCTAACCTATGACATCCTAGCTTATAGACCTAGAGTGGCCCGTGGAGCAATTTGAGGACTTCAGTGAGCGTATCCACGTTCAGCTGTTAGCTTGGGGAAGTTCTAAAAGTTTATGATTTCCCCTTCTTTCTCTTTGTTTATACCCTACTTTTGGGGTGGTGGAAAAGGGTTGGTTTTGACACTGTTAAGAAGAGTCTATACTGATAAGCAAGAGGGTGGAATGTTCTTTTAGTTTCATATGCTGTCTAGAACTTCTCAGAGTGCATTTTTAAAAAATAGGAATTCCGTATATCCCAGCAACAATTTGTAGATCCATAAACTGTTCAACAATTTTATGTGTAGAATTTTAATCTGTTTAATAAGCCTATTAATTGTTTCAGGGCAAAAAAAAGTACATTTTCCCTACAAATTTGTCTAATTTTGTTGTAGTAATAGACTGCATTTACATTTAGAATTGCTTTTGGCGCCTAAGCATCATGATTCATATATTTAGTATCTTAATATATAGTTATCTTGAGTTTATGAGAAAACATGTATTGGGGAGAAATATACTTCCTGGCTATACTACTGTACGATAAAGAAATGAGTAATCTTGGTGAAAAATGTTCTCCAAATATGGAAACTTTTAGAATTTGGAGATTTGGAACCTTCAATGAACACTTATGGAGGCCTGTTGAATGTCAAGCACATATTTTCTTTTGAAGTAGTTGTAAGACTTGGTTTGATAGAACAAGTTACATATTTGGTGTTAGGAGGGACTTTGGTGTTTAACCATTGTTTCTAGAAAATTTGGAATTCTTAAGATCTCTTCTAATATATAAAAGGTAAAGAAAAATTAGTATTACTGCCTTTGGAAGTCTTTAATTTTTTTGAGACAGGGTTTCACTCTGCCCCGCTGGCATGCAGGGTCACGACCTCTGCTCACTGCAACCTCCACTTCCTAGGCTCAAGAAATCCTGCAGACTCAGCCTTGTGAGTAGCTGGGACTACAGGCATAAGCCATCATGCCGAGCTAAATTTTTTGGTATTTTTTGTAGAGATAGGGGATTTTGCCATGTTGCCCAGGCTGTTCTCAAACTCCTGAGCTCAAAGTGATCCGCCCACCTCACCCTCCCAAAGTGCTGGGATTACAGATGTGAGCCACCATGCCCTTCCTGTTTCTGGAAGTCTTATTATTCTATTAAAGCACTAGAAAATTGGCTACATCTGACAAGTAGCCACCTCTTCCCCCTAAATTTTCTATATTCTTTCTCTAGTTCTATCTAGTTAGATTAGGTTAAACTCCTGCCTCACCTGAGTGTTTTTCTGTGTTTTTTTTTGAGACATGGTCTTGCTCTGTCACCCAGGCTGAAATACAGTGGTGCAATCTTGGCTCACTGCAACCTCCACCTCCTGGGTTCAAGCGATTCTCCTGCCTCAGCCTCCCGAGTTGGGATTACAGGCAGTACTACCAAGCCCAGCTAATTTTTGTATTTTTAGTGGAGATGGGGTTGGCCGGGCTGGTCTTGAACTCCTGAGCTCAAGTGATCTGCCTGCCTTGGCCTCCTAAAGTGCTGGGATTATAGGTATGAGCCACCACACTTGGCCTCTTTAAAATATTGGTAATGCTACCTACTATATTTTGTATGTATAGTGTGAAGAACAGTTATATCATACTAAGTCCCAATCAAAGGTTATTTTTCTTCAAACTAGCTGGCAAGCTTTTTTCAAGACAAGAGACCACCTATATTACCCTATGCCCACAAACGCCTGGCCACTATAAGAGAAAGCTAGAAGTTTCTCTATCCTGCTCTCAAGTTTGCAGCTGAGGGATGTGGGAGGGACCAGATGCATGGTTGTTTTTCCAGGTGGTGTTGGATAATGGCAGCCTACTTCCATGTTCACACACGGTTGAGTTAAACTAATTGGACTCATTAGAAAAGGTGTGGGCAGGAACACCTTGGGGAACAACTCCAGCCATGGGCTCTCCCCAGGGACATGCACCTTGTGTTCTTCTTGGAGCTTCTGTGTTCAGAGCTGTCCTGCCTGACTAGATGCAGAGCATTTCTGACTGGAAGAATGATCAAAGATGTTTAACATCTAGTGGCTATCCGTTGTGTTTCTAGCCCTGCTTGCTCCTTCCTATAGTATTTATTGATTCTTCTGTGCTGGGTCTTAAGGATACCAAGATGGATAAGAAATATTCAGAAACAGTGAAACCGGGAGACCAGGCAAAGAGCAAAATGAGACTAAAGCAGTAGAGGGATGTAGTACAAAAACAAAAGAGGGAATGGGGAAGTTAGGGAATGATTAGCAGCACTATGGGAATGGTAGAAGAATCCAGATGACATACTGACACTTTATTGGCAAGATGTTGTCAAATATTAGTGTCTGGGGATCTATTAGTTAGAGATAAAACTGAATGAGATAAGGTTGAAAATTGGCTGTATCTGATAAGTAGCCACCTCTTTCTCACTACATTTCTATATTCTTTCTCTAGTTCTTAAGGTTCCTCCCAGTCATACGATTCAGCACAATATGATGCACTGGTACTTCAGATTTGGGAATTTATTAGCAAAAAAATCCTAAAAGAAATTTAATCAGAGTTGAAAATACTAGTATGGTTAATTTTTTTTTTTTTTGAACAGGCAATGTAGAAAGCTGAAAATGTATGCTAGCATGAAAGTGGCATTTGACCCTCTTTTCCTTTGTTTATAGGAAGACAGCACTTCTTGTGAGTCAAACAGACAGAAGAGGCGAGTAAAAAAAAAGGTTTCTTCTGGGGGAGTATTTGTGAGAAGGTACTAATCAGTGAAATAACCAAATAAACCTGCTTGATTTTTCTCTTTCTTTTAAAAAATTGATATAAGTGTAAGTCTATAAAACTATCTCAGAATTACTCTGATATGCTTCTGTTCCAACTCTGAAAGCAGAAATATGTTATACTAAAGAGACACAGAGATTTTTTAAACGGCACAGACTCAGTCGTACACCTTCCCCCAATATGCTTCTTATATATTGCTACACAGGCAAGTCCAGAGATTTAGGAATAATTAATTTTACAAGTATTCACGTAAACTTTAAAATATTAGATGGTATAGTAATCAAAAGAAATGTAGTTCTAGATATTAAAAATTATTAATAATTCAACTGTGGCTCCATAATAGAATCATATTTCTTTCACTTTCTAGAGAGTATCCTTTACTTCAACTAGTGTGAATATGTTTAAAAAAATTTTTTTTCAAATGATGTAACTGCAAGCTTTTTAAGACTATAGAGAAGCAGCAGACTGGACAGGTTAAGAAACACTAGGTTTATTTCTTCCTCTTTTCCCCTAGATCTTTTTTTTTTTTTTCCTTCGTTTTTTCCCCTAGATCTTAAAGATTAGTAGTGCTTGGTCAACCAAAAAGCAACTGTGGCTTTTCGGTTCAGTTCTGACTCCAATGACCTTTTTTCCTACCCCGCTCTATTTTCTCCTCTCTTCCCTCCATAGGCTAGCTAAGATTTATGACTTGCTTGGGGCCAGCTGTGTAGCTCCTGTCTCCCCCTGAAGATCTGTTGCTGGTTTTGGGCTTCCCTGGCAGCTGCCTTCCCACCATTCCACAGACTGCCTACCCTCTGGACCCCTGCATGCACTTCATGTGGACACTAAAGTTATTTTGGCCGAGTATCATCAGAACTAGTTTGCCCTGACAAGAGTGCATTTGATTGCTGAAACCAGTTCGGCAGATTAAGGGTCTGTAAGTAAGTGTTAAAAAATGAACTTTTGCTGCCAAGGTTAATCCCAGCTCTGCATTGTTGTGTAATCCTAGGCACAACTACTTAATCTCTTTTTATAAAATATACCTACCTCATATGGCTGTCACTGGGAGAATTAAGTAAAGGACTTGGAACAGATCTTACACAAAGTACCCAATAAATGTTGACAACTATTAGTGTAGATTGAAAGCCACAGAAACCACAGAAGAACTAAAAATATATAAGGATTATTAAAAGGATAGGTGAGCCATTTTTTAACACTTGCTTACAGCTGAACTGGTTTCAGCAATCAAATGCAGTCTTGTCAGGGTAAACTAGTTCTGATACTAGGTCAAATTGGCTTTAGTGTCCATGTGAGGTAGATGCAAGGGTCCAGAGGGTGGGAAGTTTGGTATATGGTGAGAAGGCTGCTGCCAGGGAAGCCCCCAAACCAGCGAGAGATCTTCAGAGGGAGATAGGAGCTTCACAGCTGGCCCCAAGAGAGTCACAAATCTTTGCTAGCCTATGGAGGGAAGAGAGGAGAAAATAGAAGGGGTGGGGAAAAAAGAGGGAATTGAAGTCAGAACTGAACTGAAAGCCACAGTTGTTTTTTGGTCAGCAAAGCACATTTATTGGGAACTCTAAGATTTGTGCCAAGCAAGCCCTTAACTATCTCTGAATTGTCACGACAGCCATAAGAGATACGTATATTTTATAGATAAAGTAGTTGTGCCTACGATTATACAATGCTGAGCTGGGATCTTAACCTTGGCAGCAAAAGTCTGCATTCTCTTAACCATTAATGGAATTTCCAGACCATTTCCCTCCCCTTCTGGGACTACACATAGCCTTACTTTTCCCTTCTAACTTGCTGCTAAAGTAATCCCAAACCTGGAAATAGTTTGTTATATTTGCTCCAGTTTTCTTTTAATCTCTTTTTGTACCAGTGAGACAGAAAATACCAGAATAGTGTTGTAATAAAAGCATACACACCCTGTGGCAGAGGTTCCCTGGTTGTCCTCCAAAATCCATTCTCCCCTCTTCCATAGTGGGAAGGATTTTTCTGGGTTTGTGGTTGTTCAGGATAAGGACTAATTTCCCAGCTTGGCTTTGCAGCTAAGAGACCAAGTTGTGTCCAGAAGGATGTGAGCTAAAAATGTTACATAAAACCTTAGGGCCATGGCTCGAAAGTCACCTCTTGCTCCTTTCTTCTTCTGGAATGTGGATATGGTGGTGAGTCAGCCACTGGACCTTGTGAATGGGGAGAACACAAGGATGGCAGAGCAGTAAAATAAGGAGCAAGGGACCCAACACCATGGAGCTGACATATTGGCTCTAGAATGTGTACATTGGACTGTAAGAGAGAAATAAACCTAATCTTATTTAAGCCACTACTATTCTGGGTTTTGTTACAGCAGCTGAATTAAAAGTATAATTCCAAAATTATGTATATTTATTCATAAATAATATACATATATTATTGACACATTAGGTTAATGAAACAAACAAACAAAAAAAAACAAGTGAAAAGGATATTGAAGAGATTTAAGTTATTTTGTTCCTATGACTCAGCAGATTGTCCATCTCATGAGAAATAGTACTCAGGTTGGACACTAGTAGTATATTGAGTGAAAGCATGAGAGAATGAGATTTGGAGTTGAAGACTTGAGTCCCTGTGACTTGTTTGCTGGGGGACTGGGGACAAGTTACTTCACTTGGCTAAACTTGTTTCTTCAACTGTAAAATGAGGATACCATCTACCTAAGAATAGAGCTGTGAAAATAGCTGAGCATATATATATATATATATGTTATTTAGCATATTTGCTGTTATTTAGCATATTTGCTGTCATATAGTCAAGGGTAGTTATTCTTTTTCAAAATAACAATCAGTAATTTCAGCGATCATAACCATAGCCTTTCCCACTGCCCCTTTTTTTAAATATTAAAAAATACTTAAAAAATAAAGTGTTACATATCTAAATTCTTAAAATTTGACAACATTATAAGTTTTGAATTGTTTTTCCAATATGGTAAGGGTTTTTCCTGACTCTTGCCAAGTCCTTACATACTCTTGCCTAGCCTATTTTGTCACCAAAGCAGTATGAATAGGTTAGGATCTATACTGTGGCTATACACATGGTGAAAGTAGCTAATCCTTTTGGAGGCTTCTTACCATAGAAAATGCCCAAAAGGTATATTATGCTCAGAAACTCAGTACGAATGAAATATTTTCAGCATATTAAAAAATTTGGATTAAGGCCAACTGAGATTTATGAGTCTCATTGATTCCACAGGCATGTAACAAGTACCTCCTATGTGTCTAGAGGCCTTCTGAGAACTTGTAGTTTAGTGTAGGAAAAAGATATATATATAATTGCTGTTTCATAGTGAGGTGCAAGTGCTAGAATAGAGGTATAGTTTTGAGGCATATAGAAACACCATCCTCTCATCCATCTTTATTTCATATATTGCCATCACTAAACGAAAATTTATCTGAATGCCAGAACTACCATCAAAATGAATTTTCATGGAAAGCATATAGGATCTAAAAGTAATGGTGACAGGGTATGGTATGCATATTTCTATTCTTCTGTTTCAAATTTGTTACTGGATACTTTTTTTGGTAAACCCCTATGATGAGAAAGAACACAGATCTATTTAATATTTCATGGCTGTATATATAACCTGGGAATATGTATCTTTATTGTTGGGGCTTGAGAACGTCCAATAAATGGCATATCTCTTTTCTTTCTTGGTTGTGAATATAACTAAGATGAAGAATGTAAGCTAATATAGAGACCTAAACAACCCCTTTATTTACTGATAAAACTACTGGAGAATTGGTTCTAGGAGTCAGAGTCTCATGGGTTGCCCAGGCTGGAGTGCAGTGACTATAGGTGTGAACATGGTACACTGTAGCCTTGATGAACTCTTTGGTTCAAGCAATCCTGCTGTCTCAGTCTCTCAAGTAGCTAGGACTATAGATGTGTGCCACTGTACCCAGCAAGAGAAAATGGGTTTTATCGTCAGGCCAGTAAGCTTTCTATCACTGAACTCTAGAATTGGACAAACTTACCCTGTCTCAAGCATTGCTTTGCTTGGCCAGGCCTCACCCTGCAGAGGCAGAGCCTGATCCCATAGAAGCAGAACAGAATGAATGTCTCTGCAGATAGACTGGTCCCAAACAGGAGTGGGGAGGAAGTGGGTTAATTGTGCCTTGTTTCTCCTTCCAAATTTGCAGTTGGGCAAGCCACTTTACCTAGGGCAGAGTGGATAAGGGGATGAAGAGTGATGACAATGTTATGCTACTGGAGCTTTCTTCACATGGAGGAAAGACGCATTGCCTCTTAGTATTTTAGAAAAAAAAAATATATATATATATATATATATTATTTTATTTTATTTATTTATTTTTTTTGAGATGGAATCTTGCTCTGTCGCCTAGGCTGGAGTGCAGTGGCGTGATCTTGGCTCACTGCAACCTCCGCCTTCCAGGTTTAAACGATTCTCCTGCCTCAGCCTCCCAAGTAGCTGGGGCTACATGTACATGCTACCACGCCTGGCTAATTTTTTGTATTTTTAGTAGAGATGGGGTTTCACCGTGTTAGCCAGGATGGTCTTGAGCTCCTGACCTCGTGGTCTGCCCCCTTTGCTTCTCAAAATGCTGGGATTACAGGTGTGAGCCACTGTGCCCGGCTAGAGTATTTTAAATCATAACAAAATAATTTATTTTCTTGTTTAATGTCTCTCTTCTTCACTAACATTGTCGATTCCATGAGAATGAAACCATGTTCATCTCTGTGCACAGAGACTAGCAGGCTGTTTGGCATATAGCAGGCAGTCATATTGGTTAACTGAACAAATGCAGTGCACTTTGTTACAGTGGACTTTAACTTTTATGGCCACTTATTAATTAACCCAGTGGAAATTCATCTACGATGTGCTAAGGACTCTCTTAGGCAATATGATTGTGAGATAAAAATGAATCAGAATGCAACAGGATAATGTCAAAAGAGTTTTTCTTTTGAAAACAAACCAGCATTAGATTCTTGAGGAAAATACAATTGGAAAGGCTCTGAGTGTCACTCACTGGACCATATGGACCAATCTCTTGACTGCTCTATACTGCAGATTCCCTGTTTATAGCTAAACAAATGACAAGGCTATTTTGAATAACTGATAGTCAAACTTTTATAGCTATTACCAAGGCATTATGAAATCAAAATGTTTACGTTCTGGTCTTGGATTCTTGATCTGGACAAAGCTGAAGAACTAAGATAAAAAGAACATTTTAAGTTTCTTTGAAATTACATATGATTTACTAATAGATATTAATTTATAAGAAAAAAAGGTAGACTTAATAAGAAAACAAAGTAAGAATTTAACTTGTCTTATGAGTTTCTTGAAAGTAGGTACTAGATATCAATAAATGTTTGAATGTAAATTACTAAGAAAAGCTTTGTTTTATATAGTAAAGATAAGTTAAACTAGTTAAAGCAGGGATAAACTGGTTTTTGTGTATCAGAAATTTTAAAAATACATGTAATAATTAGAGCTCAATATTTAGCAACTCTACAGATTTCATATTAAGTGCTGTATATTTGCACTAAAGCACACATTCATTTGTTCGTTCATTCATTCATTCATTTGATGGTGTCTGGCTCTGTCACCCAGGCTGGAGTGCAGTGGCGTGATCTTGGCTCACTGCTATTTCCTCCTCCCGGGTTCAAGGGATTCTCCTGGCTCAGCCTCCCGAGTAGCTGGTATTATAGGCATGTGCCACCACGCCTGGCTAATTTTTGTATTTTTAGTAGAGATGGGATTTCGCCATGTTGGCCCGGCTGGTCTAGAACTCCTGACCTCAAGTGACCCACCCGCCTGGACCTCCCAAAGTGCTGAAATTACAGGTGTGAGCCATCATGTCTAGCCTATTATTTTAAAATTTATTGTTTTAGTTCATTACCAAAAAGAAATCGGTCTCCAACTATGTAGTAAGTCACTTTTAAAATCCACACAACTTTAATAATCTTTTATTTTATAGAAAAATGTAATTATGTAATGGTTATCAGGAAAGTTATTTCAGTAATAAGTATGTAGGCTAGGGAATAGTTTTCAAATATGCAGCCAATACCAACAAAATCCTGTATGATTTACACAATTGTTCAAGCAAACACAAGAAAACTGGTTCAATTTCTATGAATTATCAAAAGGACAAAATGCTCTTCTATCTCAAACCAGGTTTGAATGACAGCTTTTCAATATAATAAAGACACACACATAATAAAGACAAAATATGTCTTCTCATTCTAAAACCCTTCCTCTTTTAGTCCATGTATACTTTGAATAAACTTGTGTAGTAAAGTTTTGCTGCAACTGACAATGTTCAAAGTAAATGTCTCTTGGTTTGGTGTTCTAAGAAGCCAATAGCCGCAGCAGTACGAGCATTAATACTACTTCCAGAATCTATAAAATCCCAATGCTATTGCCAGGCAAGTAAACACTGAGGCTGTGAAAAGAAGAAACTATGTTATAGGTCTTGTATTTGTGATTATTTTGCAGAGATCAAGAGAATAATGTTATCTTTAAGTGAAGAGCAAAAAACAAGGGAAATCCAACCAATTTTCTATCCTATGTGTTTTATTCCCTAGAAAATTAAGGATGAAAGACATTCTTAAGGGCAGCATTAATGCCCAATTCTTCTTAAAAGAGCCTGTATATTAAAATGTAAATTATATGTCATTTAGAACCTATAAATTGTATTTAAAATCATTAACATTAGCATTATTCACTACTTTAAGTAATTATAAGCTCTAATTTCAGATCTCATGATAGTGAGATAATGATCTCATTCAAATCTTTCTTATATTAAAAAATTATGTAGTTAAGCTAGTAGAATAAACATCCATATATCTATGAGAAGAGAATTTTAATTGCCTTTTTGGTACATTTTAAAATAATTTCTCTCATAATTCTTAAAAAATGAAAATTTTAGTAAAAACTCTTTAAACTCAATGAAGTAGAAGAAAAGCAGAAAAAGCATCAGGTTTTTAAAATAGTTAATATACTAGCTGTACTTTATGTTTTATCATTTTGGATTAAAAAAGCTTCTGTTTTCCCAGCTTTTAGAAGGTAAGTCTGAGTGAGGCCTTTAGGGACTCCCTAGTCTCCTATTTGTTTAAAACACTAATTGATGAATTTTAAAAATAGACAATTTAGAGACAAAGGGGAAACTTTTATGAATAAAGACACAAGAAAGCCTTTCAAAGTAAAGTTATTCATAATGTATAAACCCATTTTTATACCATCCCCTTTGATCCTACTACTTAGTGAAACTTGGTTAACGATAAGATTATTTTCTTAATTTTAAGAAACGGCATTAGGCATCTCTAAGACATATAGAGAAGGGCATTTGAGAAGTAATAACACTGAGAGTTTCTTGTTTTACTGACACTGGGCAATTGTATATTCTCCCATTTGATCCTGTGACTGTTTGCCATGTGTCAGGTAGTATGCTAGTGCGCTGTGCAATTACATACGCTATTCTATTTAACCACGAGATTGGTGGTATTATCCCTATTGTACAGATAAGGTAATAAGCCCAGTTATATCGCCAGCAAGCAGTGGAACCAGGATTTAAGACTAAGTATACTTGACTCTAAAGCTGTTTTTTTTCTTTTAATAAAAAAACACACAAAAGATTTGTTATCCTTATTATATACTGTGGCACCGATAAGACTTAATCTGTCATTTATTTGAGCCACATAGTGCTAAGTGGTTACATCCTCTGCTGATTTAACAGCTGATAAATTAAGTTTTAGATAACCAAAATGAACACTTATTTATTGTGAGGTGGCAGGCATTTTGTTCCTTCGGTAGACTATACAATTAACTGCATTTAAGTTTCTCTCTCATGTCTTGCTGCTGTTATTTCAGCTTTTATTTCTCATGGCTGTTGTTGTGGTAACTATGGAGCCATTCCCAAATTCTTTTAAATTTGCTGTTTATCCTCTATATCCTATCTAGCGAGACATTCTACATATATGTAAAATGCTTAGGTGAGCATGTGCCTGATACATTTTAAGCACTCTGTAAACATTAGCTTTCCTTATTTATCTGCCCAGAACAAAATATGCCACATTTTCTACAGAGATTAACCACATAGATTAAATGGAAATTGCCAATATTCCTTGGCAGCAGTGTTCTGGGACAAAAGGTGGTATATGACCCAAGATGAGCCATTCAGACTCCTTTCTGAGGATTTTAAAAATTGGAACTAAAGAAAGAGGGCATTCTCTCCTGATTAGTGAAAGTGGAATGATAAAAGAATCTAGGTGGTAATGTTTCCAACCCATGGAGAAAGCTGGTATGAGAAAATGAGGCACACATTCACAGATTTAAAGAGTAAGTTCTGATTCCAAGTACCCTTGTAGGTAGGCTATTTTACTTGTGCCCCATCCATGGTTCAGCTGATGGCTGGAGGCTCCATCTTCAACCCTGCTGGCACCTCAACATCAGTGGTGACTGTCCAGAAAATGACTAGAAGTATAAATCTGCAGTTTTCTTTTAGACAGCAATTTGTTAATGTCAAAAATTTTAAATGTGCATATCTTTTTGACCCCCAATTTTAAATGTACATAGCAAGTTGTGATATAGAAATGACGGCACAAAGATGTGTGTGTTTTTACTCAAGCATACACATATATATGGCTGTTCAATACAGTATTGTCCTTAATAATGAAAAACTGGATGAGAATGCCTGTTAACAGAGGACTAGATACATAAATTTTGGCATTTTCTTAGAGGGAATACTGTGCTTTCTAATAAAATGATGTCTGTGTGTATTGATGTGGAAAGAAGACATTTGGTTAAATTTTTAAAAGTTGTAGACTATAAAAATATGTGATCTAATTATTTTTAAGAAGTATATAATATGTTTATATGCAGAAGAAAAAGCCTGGAAATGTTTACTACTAATAGTAAATATACAACGGGAGGGGCTTTCACTTTTACTGCTTTTGAATTCTATGAATAATTTATAAGTAAAATACATTTTATAAAAAGAAAAAAGACAAGTAATAGTTGACTAGGGTGTTCTTTCTAACTACTGGGGCCCTATAATTGGGTCAGGTCAGATGGTACTTGAGGAGCTCAGTATGTGACAAATAATCTAATTTTGGGGTAGTATGTAAGCTGCATCAGTTGATTCAAGGTAAGAGGTCATCTCTCCCTCCTCCAGGTTTTTAATGGGCTTATATCTACTTTATTGATCTTTTTCTCTAACCTCATTCAAATCTTTGTGGAAGAACATAAGCAATAAAAAGAAAATTTTCATTATTTCGCTGTGCAATACCCAGTTTATCCTTCTATTATTTTGTG